CCTATTGTTGTAACAAATCTCGCTTTTGGGACTGTGACATATAGTTGTTTCTACTTTACAAGTTACATCTACTACAACATTTGGTTTAATGTTACTTTATGAGGGAACTGCAGGTTTTCTATTTAGGAAGACTTCCCGGATGGGGAGGGGGATTAAAGAATATTAAAAGATCTGGCTAAAAGATCAACTAGGAATGTTTGTGCATGCACAAAGATAGAGAGGGATTCTTTTTACAGCTAGTTCACACTACCCAAGACTTCAAAAGACATACTTTGAAGTTTAAAAAAAGGACTTTAAAATGACCAAAGATGCAAAAGGAGATTTAAAAATGCTATGCAGTTGGATACTGAACTCCATTAGATATTTCTGTAAACTGGAACATACAATGGTAACTGTGCATTAGAGAGAGGAATAATGCAACAGGTAAAATGTTAGTAAGGCTTTCTGACATCTATATACAAACCTTTAGAAGTAGCAGGAACAGGCTACACAAGACATCAGATCAAGAGCTAAAAGAGAGGTCAGAGCACTGATTTTGAGAGCCAGATGGATCCACAGACAGACTGAGCTATAGTGAGAACAGCTTCTAAATATGCATGGGTAACCTCTACCAACCTGTAACTATTTAACAAAGTTTAACAACCCGACTGTGAGATATTCATAGCTTGCAACTAGGTCAGAATACATTTAAATACAGGTTTCTCACATTTTCAAAAATGCTTTTTACTAATAGTTTTACAGAAAACTATAATACTCAACACAGTACTACGGTTTTTTGATTAAAAACTTTGGCGAAGAAGAAAAAAGAACAAAGGCAATAATAAAACATAGTGAGAGGTTTAAAGTGCAGTATGCTACAACTCATCAAGAACTAGAGGCAAAACTTTCAGACTCCCTGGACTACACAGCACTTGCTTCCAATCGTAGAAGGTTCTGAGATATTGGACTTTACAATCACAATATTATTATGTAATCATAGAATATCAGGGCTGGAAGGGACCTCAGGAGGTCATCTAGTCCAACCCCCTGCTCAAAGCAGGACCAATCCCCAATTTAATCATCCCAGCCAGGGCTTTCTCAAGCCTGACCTTAAAAACTTCTAAGGAAGGAGATTCTACCACCTCCCTAGGTAACGCATTCCAGTGTTTCATCACCCTCCTAGTGAAAAAGTTTTTCCTAATATCCAACCTAAACCTCCCCCACTGCAGCTTGAGACCATTACTCCTTGTCCTGTCATCTGCTATCACTGAGAATAGTCTAGAACCATACTCTCTGGAACCACCTCTCAGGTAGTTGAAAGCAGCTATCAAATCCCCCCTCATTCTTCTCTTCTGCAGACTAAACAATCCCAGTTCCCTCAGCCTCTCCTCATAACTCATGTGTTCTAGACCCCTAATCATTTTTGTTGCCCTTCGCTGGACTCTCTCCAATTTATCCACATCCTTCTTGAAGTGTGGGGCCCAAAACTGGACACAGTACTCCAGATGAGGCCTCACCAATGTCGAATAGAGGGGAACGATCACGTCCCTCGATCTGATCGCTATGCCCCTACTTATACATCCCAAAATGCCATTGGCCTTCTTGGCAACAAGGGCACACTGCTGACTCATATCCAGCTTCTCGTCCACTGTCACCCCTAGGTCCTTTTCCACAGAACTGCTGCCTAGCCATTCGGTCCCTAGTCTGTAACTGTGCATTGGGTTCTTCCGTCCTAAGTGCAGGACCCTGCACTTATCCTTATTGAACCTCATCAGATTTCTTTTGGCCCAATCCTCCAATTTGTCTAGGTCCCTCTGTATCCTATCCCTGCCCTCCAGCGTATCTACCACTCCTCCTAGTTTAGTATCATCCGCAAATTTGCTGAGAGTGCAATCCACACCATCCTCCAGATCATTTATGAAGATATTGAACAAAACCGGCCCCAGGACCGACCCTTGGGGCACTCCACTTGATACCGGCTGCCAACTAGACATGGAGCCATTGATCACTACCCATTGAGCCCGACAATCTAGCCAGCTTTCTACCCACATTATAGTGCATTCATCCAGCCCATACTTCCTTAACTTGCTGACAAGAATACTGTGGGAGACCGTGTCAAAAGCTTTGCTAAAGTCAAGAAACAATACATCCACTGCTTTCCCTTCATCCACAGAACCAGTAATCTCATCATAGAAGGCGATTAGATTAGTCAGGCATGACCTTCCCTTGGTGAATCCATGCTGACTGTTCCTGATCACTTTCCTCTCATGTAAGTGCTTCAGGATTGATTCCTTGAGGACCTGCTCCATGATTTTTCCGGGGACTGAGGTGAGGCTGACTGGCCTGTAGTTCCCAGGATCCTCCTTCTTCCCTTTTTTAAAGATTGGCACTACATTAGCCTTTTTCCAGTCATCTGGGACTTCCCCCGTTCGCCACGAGTTTTCAAAGATAATGGCCAATGCCTCTGCAATCACAGCCGCCAATTCCTTTAGCACTCTCGGATGCAACTCGTCCGGCCCCATGGACTTGTGCACGTCCAGCTTTTCTAAACAGTCCCTAACCACCTCTTTCTCCACAGAGGGCTGGCCATCTACTCCCTATGTTGTGATGCCCGGCGCAGCAGTCTGGGAGCTGACCTTGTTAGTGAAGACAGAGGCAAAAAAAGCATTGAGCACATTAGCTTTTTCCACATCCTTGTCACTAGGTTGCCCCCCTCATTCAGTAAGGGGCCCACACTTTCCTTGGCTTTCTTCTTGTTGCCAACATACCTGAAGAAACCCTTCTTGTTACTCTTGACATCTCTTGCTAGCTGCAACTCCAGGTGCGATTTGGCCCTCCTGATTTCATTCCTACATGCCCGAGCAATATTTTTATACTCTTCCCTAGTCATATGTCCATCCTTCCACTTCTTGTAAGCTTCTTTTTTATGTTTAAAATTGCTAGGATTAAGATTAAGATTAAGATGTTAGGATTTCACCGTTAAGCCAAGCTGGTCGCCTGCCATATTTACTATTCTTTCGACTCACCGGGATGGTTTGTCCCTGTAACCTCAACAGAGATCCCTTGAAATACAGCCAGCTCTCCTGGACTCCTTTCCCCTTCATGTTAGTCCAGCAGGGGATCCTACCCATCCGTTCCCTGAGGGAGTCGAAGTCTGCTTTCCTGAAGTCCAAGGTCCAACTGCTGCTTACCTTTCTTCCCTGTGTCAGGATCCTGAACTCAACCAACTCATGGTCACTGCCTCCCAGATTCCCGTCCACTTTTGCTTCTCCCACTAATTCTTCCCTGTTTGTGAGCAGCAGGTCAAGAAAAGCTCCCCCCTAGTTGGCTCGTCTAGCACTTGCACCAGGAAATTGTCCCCTACGCTTTCCAAAAACTTCCTGGATTGTCTATGCACCACTGTATTGCTCTCCCAGCAGGTATCAGGAAAATTAAAGTCACCCATGAGAACCAGGGCGTGCGATCTAGTAGCTTCTGCGAGTTGCCGGAAGAAAGCCTCATCCACCTCATCCCCCTGGTCCGGTGGTCTATAGCAGACTCCCACCACTACATCACTCTTGTTGCTCACACTTCTAAACTTAATCCAGAGACACTCAGGTTTTTCTGCAGTTTCGTACCGGAGCTCTGAGCAGTCATACTGCTCCCTTACATACAGTGCTACTCCCCCACCTTTTCTGCCCTGCCTGTGAAATGAAAAGGTATTTTAGGTAATTGTTTATACATTCCTAAAATAGTTATAATTTCTCTCCCCCTCCAAAACCTAAAGTGTTGCACTCATGGCACTAAGACAGACTGGCTTTACAGGTTGAGGGATAATACCAATATATTTTTTTTTAACTCAAAAACGTTCAGAAAGCAGATTTTCTGTCAAGTATCAGGCACATAGAGAACATGTGATGGCATAATGATTTTATCATCACTATTTTGGGATGATCTGCAACCATTACTCATGGCTTGGCCACTTGTGAGTAATGTAGCCAGCCCAAACACATGTCAATGCATTCTTTACACCACATCACATCATATATTCACTTTCATCCGGTTTTCTCTGAAGCACTGATAGTATTCCTCATATATGCATTTCATCTGTGTGCAGCCAAGGCACAATCCTGTTTCACAATTACAGAATACCATCGTGCTTTCAAACTTCTCTTTAGGATTAGTCCCTGCACTGGTTTAACCTACTCATTTTCAAAAAGACCTGTTGGAAAAAACACTCCTCCACAGCAGCAATACCCATCCCTCTGGTACCTCCCAATATTTCCTTGCCTGGAATGGAGGCTTTACTGAAATCACCGCTCACGAACTACTGGCACCTTCTGATAACACAGCAATGGGAGGTTTCAGAGTAGCAGCCTTGTTAGTCTGTATCCGCAAAAAGAACAGGAGTACTTGTGGCACTTTAGAGACTAACAAATTTATTTGAGCATAAACTTTCGTGAGCTACAGCTCACTTCATCGGATGCATGTGAGCCTCAGCCCCCATCTCATGCCTGTCCCCACACTCCCTTCACAAAAGCATATTACTTCTTTTCCTCGCAAGTAAAGGCATAAATATGTCGGCTTTGCTCAGAAAGCGCCCAACACTTCACACAGGTAAGCAGGTTTGTGTAGAAACACACACCACTTTTTGAAGCGCTCACCTCAGCCACACCCTGCAGAGATGGTCTTTGGTCAACAACTGTACAAATACCAGCAAGTTAGTATTGTAATTAATACTCATTTTCAGGTCAAAGCAATTTTTGTTGCCCTAAATCCTGCCTTCCTGCCCTGCGTGAGAGAGGAGAACCGTGCCTACTTTTCAGCTTCCCCCTTCTGCAGTACTGCAAAATGCCATGCCATCCATGCTGAACCAAAATTTAACTTTGATGGTCGACACTTAAGATTTTATGAGCTGGTGGATTAGATTCTCTCCCCTGAGAGCTTAGTTACAGTTAAAGGTGACAGGTATGGCAAGTCTAAATTTATCAGTTCCTCGGAATGTAAATCTACATCAAAGAGGATGGAGGTTAAGCTCTTACCTTTTCATCAGCACCTTTGTTCAGCAGCCAGCACACAGAGCAAAAACCAACAATGCTTGGCTTGCAATCACTCCCTGCAACTGGAAAGAAAGGAAAATGGGGCTGGATTAGAGACTTGCAGGAAAGGAAGATCAGAGCCTAAATAGGATGCTTCATTTCATAGGAGTTTCAAGTTAATCGCAGACAATGTTCAGAGAACACTCAGTTGGGGGAGGAATTCCCAACAGGACTGAAATAGCCAACAAGGCGCTGCACCTCTGATTGTTCCTGGATGGGGGCCACTAAGTGCAGGAAAGGCAATAACATTTAACACAGGGCATGAACCATGTCAAAATAGAACCAGAGAAGGGAATGAAAAAACAGAGGGGTGTCTGGCTTGCCATGGTCTTTCTGGATCTGAAAGTCAAAGTCCAGGGGCCTCTTCATATGAAGGTCACAGTCCTGAGAAATCTGAAGTACATTTCACAGAGAGACCTTTCTTCCTAAGGTAGAGTAAACTGAGGCCCATTGGTTCATATATCACAGCATTCTATCACGGAGCTCAGACTGCAGCTGTAGGTCCTTATGTAGACAGTCTCCACGTATAGAAATGCAATGTACTACTATAAACCAACTCTTTATTAATACTGTTTGAAATATGAGGTACAAATTTTCTAGTCTTACATAGAAAAACCCCAGAAGTGGGACTTTTCCCAAATTCTTTGCATAATCTCCTCAAATTAATACCAGGGCTGCCTGAAAGCCAATGCCAGTCAGCCAGCCAATGATAACTTTTCCTTTCACAAGCCTGTAGCCAGTGATTCACGTACCTGTTCCACACACAGCTCAGGCTGGGCTCTCTGTCACAACCTCCATTTATCACAAGAGACTGTCAGTCAGTCATCTGTCAACTTGCCCAGGAAAGCAGCAGCTCACTCTGCCTGGCAACACGTTTCACCACTTCCCTTATCACTGAAACCAAACACAGGAGTTCAGGGCCACCCTACCTTCGCTCAGCAGCAGATACACTGACCTTTTGGCTGCAATTTTACCACATGCTTTGGGTCATTAAACAAAAAAACGTCTCCCACACCTCCTCTTGTTTTAAAAAGTTTTGCTATTATTCAGGTTGTCTAGTCCAGGGGTTCTCAGAACAAATTTTTGGTGGCCTCAGAGTGCGGTCACCAACTCTTGCTGGTGGCCGCGTTGACAATTTTTCCTAAAATACTTAATTAACCTTAGGAAAAACAAATAAATATGCACATATATGTGTCCAAATCATTGTAATTTATTTATGTTGGGTTTTTCTCAGACTCAGTAATAATAATAATTTACAGTTGTCTCTTTTCTTTACTGCACCTAAACAGACTAGAAACACAAATAAGGCACTTTGCATGTTCTTGTCTTTTGTTGTTGTTTCTTTTGCTTTTTTGGTTGTGCTTTTTTTCCCCTTAAGACGTGCTAGCTGGTAAGTCTTCTGCTGTGAAAAGTGATATTTGTATGTTTGTTAATATCAATTTTCACAGCAAACTTACTCAGCCCCAGCAATCTCTGGGACAAATTAAGCCTGGATAGGGAGGCGAACAGGGAGGCAGCGGGGCCCAGGGACGATGGCAGGGGTGGTGAGCCTGGGCCAGAACCTGGAACCAGAGCCTGCCGCCACGTGGATGGAGCCCAAAGCCCCATGGTCGAAGCCTGCCTCCCCTTACCCCGGGGAAAGTGGGGAATTCACCAGTTGCCTGCACTTTCAGTGTTTGAGTCTCTGGAGGGAGGCAGGGCCCAACCGCTGCTGGCAGCCTTGCAAGAGGGGCCACTGCTTTGCGTTACCCCCATCACAGTCCAGATGGCTGTGGCTGCAAGAAAAGGCCCTGGTGGCCGCATGTGACCACATTTGAGAAACAGTGGTCTAATCACTTGCAGATTTCCACAGTCGGACCATGTCAACACTACCACTTATGTGGGCAAAACTTACATCACTCAGAGGTATGAAAAAAATATACACCTCAAGTGACATATGTTTCGCCAGCATACATGGTAGTGTGCACAGTGCTATGTCAGTGGCCGAGCTTCTCCCACCGCTCATTGGGGTGGTTTAATTAGGTCAATGGAAGAGCTCTCTTCTGTCAGCATAGAGCATCTACACGAGAGATCTCACAGCAGCACAGCTGGATCGGTACAGCTGTGCTGCTGTAAGCGCTCTAGTGTAGACATAGCCTCAAACAAGTCTAACACATATGGCAGCCCACAGCATGGGACCTCCCTTCACAGCATTTCCACAATACACAGCTCCAAAAAGAGAAACAGTGAACCAGAGGTTACTGGATTAAATGGCTTCCTGACACCAGGCCACTTTCACAAACATGAGCAAGAGCCTGTGTGTAGCACCAGCCAGTTATATTAGAAGATTAAAAAGACAATGCTCAGGGAAGTCAGCCCAGAAATCTATTCACTTTCCCTCTCCCACCCCGTATACCTATTTACAAAGTTAATGTAATTTAACAAGCTTTTTATTTTCCTATCAAATCTTTCAAAAGGGCTGGGCGTTTGACCAATCCAAAAGTAATTGGTCAGCTGATCAGTCAAATATTGTCAAAAAATATCATAAATGGTGAAATATTTTAAAGCACAGATTTACTAGAACAGTAACAAGAGTAACAAAAAAAAGAATAAGACCTTCTGATTTCTAACAAGCTTAGCTTTAGACAGCTACATATGCTTAATTACAAAACCAAGGTGTTTAGCTGAGTTACTTTGACTCAGAAAAATGTATAACACAATAAAATTAAGGTCTCAAAAATGAAAGAATGGCCGTGGCCTACCTCAGGGCAATCTTGCTGGAATACCTGATAATATTTCACCGCAGTCAAATAATGGGCAGTCAATTGACATTATTTGCCCAGTCAATTAACTGGTTTGCCAAACCTAATCTCAGGTTAGGATCTATGTTTCCTCTAAGCTGCGCGGTTGGGCAGCCGACCAGGAGAGATTCAAGTGTCGTGCAGTTGATTAACAGAGCCCACACATCCAGCAGTGTGTGTTCAGGTGCCCCTCCCACCTGCTGCTTTGCAGCCACGTTGCTCCTGCAGCTGCTCCCAGGACCCTCCTGCTGGCTGTGCAGCGTGGGGGTAGGGGGGTTCTGATGTCAGGGTGTCCCCCTCCCCCTGCCCTTGTACCTCATCTATACAGAGCAGGGGACAGGGGACAGGGGACAGCCTGGTTCAGCACTCGGAGCTGCTGCAGTCTGAGGTCTGAAAGACTCGAGCCTCTGGGCAATAATTGCCTTTCTTAAAGAGACAGCGCACAATCGCTGAGACTTCACCAGCAGCCAGCTCACCCAGTCTTTCTCTCTCTCCCCCTTCCCGCTGCCCATGTACCAAATCTCCGCAGAGCAGGGGAGGGGAGACAGGGGCTCGGGACAAAGCAGGAGAGCGTTCAGTGAGTGCCTTAAAGAGACAATGTCTCAGAAACTTCCCCAGCATCCAGGACACACTGTCTCTGTGTCTCATACACATGTTCTGTATTGCACACATGCACTGTGTCTGTGTCGCACACATGCACGCACACACACATGCTGTGTCACACACACATACTGTCTCTTTCACACTCACCTCCCAACACATTCTTGTATTATTGTTGTTGTTACTTCTTGGTACTTCCTGCAATACACATATATTTCTCTGTAATTTTATTCTTTCAAAGTGTTTTATTTTAGTGTTTTGACTGGTCAATGCATTTCATAATTTTTATTTCTCTTACACTTAAATTTAATTCGTTGAGTAGTGAGTTCTAAAAGGCCTAACCTGTCCTGGCTGGAGTAATTATCCCTATGGTAACTTTTTAAAAATATTATATCTAGGTTTTTTGTTTCTACTGGTGGCGCGCATTCGCACATACCTCGGTGCACATAACAAAATTTATTCCGCACATGGATGAAAAAAATTAGAGGGAACATTGGTTAGTATCTGAACATTTTCCCCTTCCCTTCTATTTCCATTATCTCCCTGGACCCAAACATCATGATGGATAAGCAATAATGTAGATTCACTAGAGAGGGAAGGGGTGAGAGGCAGAAAGAAATAGTTAAAAAGGGAGGAGATCAGCATGTCTTGATGTATCTCAGAAGCATAGAAATTAAGAGATGAAAGAGACCTATTAAATCATCTGATTTATCCCCACGCAAATGCTGGGTCTTTGGCTTTAGGATCCACATCTTGAGTGCTTTGTCCAGTCTAGTTTTAAATTTCTTCTTCCAACTCTACCTGAAATTTAATAATTTTCAGGATCTCATTCCACTGCTCCTGGTTATGCCTCTTTCTACAAAGCTAAATTAATTCATTTCCATCTTTCAAGAGTACTCCCCTCAAATATTTGTAGATTATCATCACTTTTCTCCACTACATGCTTTTAGTTATCACTTAGCCCAGGGGGTCTCAAACAAGCAGCCTCCCGCCCCACCCCGGCCTACCTCTAGGCCAGGGGTGGGCAAACTATAGCCTGCAGGCCGGATCCGGCCTCCGGGATTGCCCCCCGTGGCCCCGCAAGCCCTGTGCCACTCCCTGAAGCGGCTGGCACAATGTCCCTGTGGCCTGGGGAGGGGGCAGGGGAGAGGCAAAGGGCTCCGTGAGTTGCCCCGGGAACAGGGAACCGCGGCCAATGGGAGCTTCAGGGGAGGTACCTGGAGGAGCTGCAAGTCAGTGCATGGAGCCCTGTGCCCTCGCGCCCTCCCCCGGGCCGCAGGGACATGGTTCCAGCTGCTTCCCGGAGCGAAGTGGTGCAGGGGCCGGGGCCAGGGGCCGGGGCCAGGGGAGGCAGGGAGCCTGCCCTGGCCCCGGTGCGCACAGCTGCCACCCCTGAGCCCACATTGTCCCCGAACCCCTCCTGCACTCCGCACCCCAACTCCCTGCCCTGAGCCCCCTGCCACACCCTGCACCCTGGGCATTTGCGTTTGAGACCTCTGACTTAGCCAATCTACCCGTATTTATAATGGGTTCTTTGCTTGCATCAGTCCCTTCCGTCTTTAATCATTTGTCACTCTTCTCTCAACTCCCTCAAATTTGTTTACATCTGTCTAGTAATGAAGTACTTGGTCCTCCACCCTACT